GTAAAATATAAATCAACGAATTACGTGAATTTACAGCGCAATTCGCAGCCTCTTGAGTCTTGATTCGCCTCGGATATCAATTTCCTTTTCACGAAGTCAATTCCATCCTGTTGTCGGGCAAAAAACGGTACTTTAAACCAATACTCTTTAAGTTTATATATATATATATATAATACTCTTCAAATTTATTAGAATTTGCTCCCACATAATTTTTATAATTTTTATAGTTTACATATTTTTATATTAAAATAAATTTATTTATATATTTTTTAATTAAAATAAATCATTTTAAATTTAACAAATGAGGTTATATTAAGTGATATTTTCGTCAAATTTACCGTGGGTAATTAAAAAATTGATGATTTGGTATTGGTAAGCTCATTTTGTGACATGGCTATACTTTATATTTTTTTTTTCCAGATAGACATGGTTCAATAACAGAGCAATACAATTGTGACTTTGATTGTTTGGTCAATGACTTTGATTGTACACACTCGGTTTGAATGGGGATTAGACACCTAGTTGTTCTTTTTTTTTCTTTTTTTTTGGGATCTGATAATCAAGTCTTCTCCAGACCTTGATATATAACGCCAATTCCACATAGGTTTAATTCTTTTGGATGTGCAATCAACAATTCCGTTGTTGTAAGCAGGAAAGATTCTTTGCCCCTGATATGTGAGATGCATGCGCGTTGGGACGCCGTTCGCCATGTGCAGCCGGAACTAGTGGCGGAACCATCAACGATCGAGATCTCCCTTTATCTTTAAATAAGAGAAGAAAATATGCTGACAGCACGTATATTTACTGTTAATAAATATGCGAGATATGCACTTGCTCTTTGATGTCTTCAGGTTAATTACGTATAAATGTATTTTTTTCTCTTAGAATAATAATTTAAATTTGATTTTTTGTAAGTTTGTACAAAAAAAATAAATAAATATGTGAGATTTAATTTTATTAAATTTATTTATTAAGTTAAAATTATAGATTTTTTATTATTTTATTTTATTTATTTATCATATAAGCATAATAAATAAAAAACAGGGAGGAAAAGAACTAAAATTGGGTCTTTGAGAATCGAAGGGGCTCCGGAGAATATAGAAATGGAGAACGGGGAAACCCCTACATTGGCGGCGAAGTTCTGCTACTGAACTGGTTTTCATTGATTTTGTAGCACTTCATCTTGGGTATTATAAACAACCAAAAGCAACAAGCTTTCTTCAAGCTTTCAACAATGGAGATGGTGGGTTTAGAGAGACAAAACGAAACAACTTACTTTGAAAAGTCTCTCAAAAATTTCCTCTCAAAATGCGTGAATGGATGGAAGATAGGGTGACTTGCTTTCCCAATCAAGCAATGCCCAATGATTGTTGCAAGAAATTTCAAGTTTAGTGATGATTTGAAGGAGTTAAGGCATGGATCTTTCACAGATGAGACCGACAGGTTTGTGGAGTTTGGAGACTTTTGATAATTTAGGAGGAAGAACAGTATTTTTTGGAGTTTTACCGAAAAAAGAAAATCATGTCTCAGAAATGGTCCACAAAATGCCAAATCATCAGAAGTTTTAACGGGTTTGCAGTAGGTTTGACGAAGATATGACGTTATAGATAAATTTAAGGTGATTTATTTTAATTAAAAAATATATAAGTAAATTTATTTTAACATAAAAATAGGTAAGTTGAAATTTTTTTTAAATAATAATAATAATAGATGGACGGATTTCATTAACCTCGAAAAGTATGAAGCTTCAAATACCTTTTTCGCCCACGTTTTCATC